GGTTTCTGATCATCTGTTTTGTCCCTTACCAACTTTACTGATAACTAATTTATATGCAGTAAATGACATCTGTGAAAAGTAAAGTATTCATAGCTATAGATATATATATTTTTAATAATTTCTCAGGTTTGAATTCTCTCCAATCTTATAACTAGGTTGCCTGTCCTGTGGAATGTTTTACTCCCAATTATTACCTTTGGTCACAGTGTAATATTATGAATGCCTTTTTCAACTATTGAAAGTCTCGGTTACAACAATAAATTATATAATCACTTTTTTTTTTAAAGTATGGAATTCCATGAGTGTTGGCAGTGGAATACACCCAGACCATCATAATCAAGATACAGAACATTTCTGTCACCCCCCAAAGAGTAACCTTTGACTTGCTTTTTTTAGTCATGAGAGATTAGTCTGTATTTGGTATAAATGGAGTCTTGAAGTATTTGCCTTTATCTGGCTTTCTTTAGAACAGTAATTTCTAGACTAATCTGCATTGCTGGGTGTACAGGATGTACGCTTTTTAAAACTGGAACCTTAAAAAGAATGAAAACAGAACCAGGAGAATGACAGACACCACTGCATTTTCCAAGCCCCCGCTCTCGCATTTCCATTATCTTTCTCCTTCTTTTCCCTTCCTCCTTCTTGTCACGTATTCAAATTTACATAGCATTTTCTATTTCCTTTATTTATTTATTTATTTTTTTGGCCAGGGCCGGGATTGAACCTGCCACCTTTAGTATATGGGCACAGCACCCTAGTCCTTTGAGCCACAGGTGCCTCCCGCATTTTCTATTTCTTTCACATTTACCTCGGTGATTAACTCATTGTTTCTCTGCTTTATAGATGAGGCAGCTGTGGCTCAAAGAGAACAGGTGGTTATTAACTAGGAGGACTTTCCCGGGAAGGCGCCCGCATTCTCTGCAGGGTGGTCCCACACGTTGGCTGGACATTGCAGTCACCTGGGAGCTGGTGACTAAAATACTAAAGCCTGAATCCCACCATCCCCGGAGTCCCCAGTTGGTCCCAGGTGCAACCTGGGCATGGATATGGTTTTAAATCTCCCCAGGAGATTTTAATGTGTAGCCAAGATGATACAGCCAACTTCTTTTGATTTCTTGGAACAATTCTAGTTGCTTAATTTGGCAGTGTTTCCCTGGTGGAGAATTGAGAATTTGAAATATGCTCCTCATGTATGTGTATATGCGTGTGTGTGTACCTGTGTGTGTACCTGTGTGTGTACATGTGTGTGTACGTGTGTGTGTATGTGTGTGTTCTTAACCAATTAACTCAGACATCCTCCAATAGCTGCTTATATTAAATTTACAGAAGAGTTTTCCAAATTGCAAAGGTGAAACGACAAATTCAGGTTTACATTTAAGCTATGACATCAGGGAATTTCTAGAAAACAAATCCGTGTGCTATTAATGACACATAACATTACACTGTGACCATCGGAGGTAACAGAGTATGCAGTAAACATCAACATGGTCTGTTGGCCTTAACTCGCTGTTAGGATCCCCAGCAGAAGTAGCTGCTAGAAATAGTCTGGGCAGGGTCTTATAATCAGCTTTACATAGGATGACTGACAGCTTACTGGGAAAAGCAGGAGGAAGGGAGAAAAGATTCCCCGTTTGGTTTTTTCAAAGCAGACTCTAGAATAGAGGACTAGACTGGCTCACACGCCCCAGGGAACCAGATCTGTGGGGCAAGTGGAAGGAGTGGCTGCGCCTGGCGGGCGTTAGAGCACAGTTTGCACACGAGGAGAGGGCGCTGCACTCGAGTGCCGTCAGTGTTCCCCATGGTGAAGGGGACAATCATCCCCAGTTCTCAGTAGAAAGTAGAAATATGGAGAAAACTTCTCAATTATAAAATATTGTCCATTGCTTCTCTTTCCAACCTAGTGAACCACATTGTGCAGGCCCAGTTTGAGTCTATGCCAGTTTATAACTTTTTTTTTTAACTGTTTGGGATTCATTGAGGGTATAAAGAATTAGGTTACACTGATTGCATTTGCTAGATAAAGTCCTTCTTATAACCAAGAGGTGTGCCATACACCATGACCCCCATCCTCCCCTCTTCTCTTCTCCTTTCCCCCTCACTCCCCTCTCCCTCACCATGCATTAGATCATCTGCTGCCTTCATTTAGAATTGAGTACATTGGGTTCTTGCTTCTCCATTCTTGTGATGCTTTACTAAGAAGAATGTGTTCCACTTCAATCCAGGTTAATACAAAAGATGTAAAGTCCTCAGCTGTTTAATGGCTGAATAGTATTCCATGATGCACATATACCACAGCTTGTTAATCCATTCCTGGATTGGTGGGCATTTAGGTTGTTTCCACATTTTGGCAATTGTAAATTGAGCTATGATAAAGTCTAATTAGTGCAAGTCTCCTTATGATAAAAGATTTTTTTTTCTTCTGGGTAGATGCCCAGTAATGGGATTGCAGAATCAAACAGGAGGTCTAGTTTGAGTTCTTTGAGGATTCTCCATCAGTGTATAATTTCTGAAGCTCTGGAATGAAAGTTAATTCACTTCTTGATTGCTATCTGTGATGATTTGAAAGTGTCTTTCCAAAATTCAAATTGGAACCTAATCTTCATTGTGGAGATATGAAGAGGTCAAAGCTTTGGGGAAGTGATTACCTCCTGAGGTGTCTTTCCTCACGAACGAGATTAGTGCCCTTATAAAAGGTGGCAATTACCTCTTCTTCCCGGTGAGGACACAGAGAAAGCCCCGTGTATGAGGAACAGGCCCTCGCTAGACATGGAATCTACCAATGCCTTGATCTGAGACATTCCAGCCTCCAGAACTGTAATAAAACTCTGTGGCTTATCAATTACCCAGTCTGAGGTATTTTGTTACAGCAGTAGGGACTGACTAAGACACTATCCATTCCTCTGTGCCTCTGGTCTTCTGCCAAACTTCTGGGCAATTATACCTGGAAAGCAAATAATGCCTGATAAGGGCATTTGAAATAATATCTAATATTTTTATAATGCTTTAATTTTTTAACAGCCCTGCTATGTAGATGCTATTATTATCTACATCTTCTGCAGTTTACAGAGAATGAAACTGTAACTCAGAGAGATTCTTATTCCCACTTGTTTTGAGGTCTATCTCGATCATGCAGTGGTATCCACTCATTCCGAGGTAATTTGTATGCTTGTATTGAGAACTTGTGCGATGGTTGCCAATTTCCCCTGTCTGTTTATCTCATCCTATAAGCAAAACTTTATTCAAATCAATACAAGGAATATAATTTCAAAGAGCATTTAATCTTATATTAAGAAGTCAATGAAATAATATCAAATAAGAAAAAACAGAATTATTCTTTTCTTCTTAGTGTTTTTAAAATAGTTTTCACCAATTTTCCATAAAGATGTTGTATTCATGCTATAGCCAGTGAAATAATTTTCAACAAAGAAATGTAATTTGAGATTATTCCTATTCCTGAAGTCACAGGTTTGTTGTTCCCATTTTTTTTTTCTCAGCTTTTGGATTCATTATCAATTGACTACTGCATGTTACGGTTGGGCTGTCCTCGCACCTTAAAATCAGTATTTCTAAAACTAAATGAATTTTTTCCCCAAACCAAATCCTACTTTTGTCTCCTTTTTACTCAAGTCTCCCCTCTGAATTTTTGAAGTCCATCTCCACCCACTCATTTTCTCCTTAATGTACGTCTTTGTCACCTCAACTTGCAGGTGTCTCCTCATGGAGTCTTTACCTTCAGGATCTCTTCCTTCCAGCTTGTGCAACCACTGCCAGAACAATCTTCCAAAAGCACATTTTGGTCATATCACTTCCCTGCTCAAAAGCCAATCACATGATTGCTTAGACAAACAGCTTATTCTAAGTCTATGGCAGGGTAAGTTCAAAGTGAACCTGGAACATTTTGACACAGAATGAGGAAGTGTTCAGAGTGATATGGGTGTGAAAAGAGCACAGGAGTCGTCTGAAAGGAATGTTTTCAGTGGTCAAATGTGGACCATCTGGACTCTAAAGGAATCACAGCAGTTATGGATTAAAGCTCATCAAATCAGAAAATCTGTGAGTCCACAATAATACAGGTAGAGGCAAAGGAAAGAGAAATGGGAAACAGAAGTTGCTCTGAGCAGAACAATGATTACTTACAAATACAGAGAAAAGATGGAATTATGAAGGCAGCAGGTCACAGCCCCCAGTGTGATCATGAAAATGAGGGTCATCGGAGGATACTAAATTCATCAGTGGAAATGTTGTTAGAGAAAGGAATGTGACAATGTCTCAGAGTATTACCTTGCCAGTTGCTTACCAATTGCAAAATCAGAAGAATACCTTTGCAGGGGTGAGATCTGAGGGCACTCTAAACTAAGACACCCAAGTTAGCATCACCCATGGAATGGGAGGCCCACAGGGTACACCACACCAATCGGATATTCTTGCTAAAATGTTTGAATCTAATTGTGAAGAAATAATCACAAAAGCCCCGAATGTGGGACATTCTACAAGGGAACCAGATGGGATTCTTTAAAAAAATGTAAGATCATGAAAAACCAAAAGGCAGACAGACTAGTGTAAATTAAAGGGACATACCCTGTGTATAAACACGTATTGAACCTGTACAAAGAAGTTAAAAATTGTTACAAAAAGATTAGAGTATTTTAATTCTTAGGAAATATATGCTAATAGACTGAGGGGCAAAATATCATAATGTCTACAACCTACTTTCAAATGGTTCAGCAACAAAATGTGAAATAAATCAATGTATCGTATGTGTGTATATGTACACATATATGTGTGTATGAACATTTGCATGACTATATACACACGCAGAGCACAAACAAGCATGGTAATATTCACAATAGGTAATTCTAGGTGAAGTTGTATTAGACTTTCAACTTTTTTGTAGATTTGACGTTTTTTTAGCAAAAGGCTATGGGGAAAAAGCCCTTCACGATGAATAGTGGTCTAGGTGTGACCTCCAAGGCCTTCTCCAGCCCAAATCTACCAAACTGTATGAACTTTGTAAACTACTCAGGGCTGGGTTGTGTCCTCTCAACCCTTTTCCCAGTGTTAGCACCTTGGCAGTCTGTCTTCAGAAGAGTCTGCACTCCCTTCCCCAAATCAACCCCTCTCAGAGCGCCAATCTGCCTCCTGACTTACAACTCTGCCCCCACTGCTCTGCCTGTGAATATCACTTGTTCTCTCTATTCAAATGAGAACGCCCTCCTCCCTATCAATCCTGTCTTCACTTAAATATAAATATGCAAGCTAACATCTATATTTCCCCTTGTATTCCTGTAAGTGAAGGTATTAAACTATTTTCAGAAGAGAAAATCAGGGTCATAGTTTGTAATTTTTAGATAACCTATCCTACCTAGAAAATAACAGATCTTCAATAGTTATGGGTTAATCAATCACAACCCTTCACTGCATTTCTGTAAGAAGTGATCGTTATTTTTATTTATTTATTTATTTTTGGAGACAGAGCCTCAAGCTGTCTCTCTGGGTAGAGTGTTGTGGCATCACAGCTCACAGCAACCTCCAACTCCTGGGCTCAAGAGAGTCTCCTGCCTCCGCCTCCCAAGTAGCTGGGACCGCAGGTGCCCCCCACAACGCCTGGCTATTTTTTTTTTTTGGTTGCAGCCGTCATTGTTGATTGGTGGGCCGGGGCTGGATTTGAACCCGCCACCTTAGATGTATGTGGCTGGCGCCTTAGCCACTTGAGCCACAGGTGCCAAGCCATGATCGTTATTTTGATATCAAAATTCCAGATAAAAGGAAGAAACTAAGTAAATTACCTTGTTCTTTCTATGTGATGTCAAACAAAAAGTCACTTACAAACTTACTTCTAAGATCAAACAGGTTTGGATCAAGTGTCTCCATTTTTATGTGGGTGTTTGATATTACATAGATTGCACTGGGCTTGGATGAGTAGGGGAAGATACCTGTCACATCATTTATCCGCAGTATCCCCTGGCCTCATTCTTCAGCACTAACCTTCTTCTGTGTTTAATTTAGACACTGCTGTCGATCATCTTTTCTGCCCTTGGAATTGCTTTTTCTGGATACTGCCTGGTCATATCTGCTTTGGGTCTTGTCCAGGGACCATACTGCCATACCCTCAATGGCTGGGAATACGCCTTTGAAGGCACTGCAGGACGGTAAGGAAAAAGGCCCCAAACCAAGGTCAAAAAATCAGAAACTCTTGGCCTCGTGCTGTGTCCATTTTTCATGATACTTTGGGGTTCCACGTGGCTACACTAGTACAGAATTTTCCTATTAATTTACTAATATATGGGGCAATTTATACTTACATAGATTTTTGTTTAGCTGTTCTTTCTTCCTCCGGTCTCTCAAGGTCATGTGCATTCAATATCTTGCAGCTGTCATGGAGTTACACAAATGAAAGTTGTGTTTCTCCCATTCTCCATATTAAGGCCCTCTAGTTATGGTGGTCTGGCCACTGCTGGAACTTGCAGCCTCAGTGGCTCTACAACTCCGTCTTGTTTTATATCCAGGATGGACATGTGGTCTATTGAAGGTGTGAAAGGGCTCAACTGGAAGGGAATCACAGTGCCCTTGGGTAGTGTCACCTGGGGGCTGTAGCAGCAGGTACGACACAGAGATAGCAGCAGGTGGGGTGAGCCGGGAAGAGTTGGCTGCGATCTAGGAACATGGCGAGGTGCAGGAGTGAGTGGAGGAGCCAGGAGCTTATCTGGCTTATTGTACTGAAGAAGGGCCTCAGGAGGTAGCCTTGCTCAGAAGGCTGGTGGTTTGTCAGATGCTGAGCAACCCAATCCCGGCTCTCACTGGTGTGTGCAGAGCTTGTTGGGCTACCCACACCTGCATGGGCAGCTCAGGAGGTAGCAGGAACAACAGAGGGATACAGAGCAACCCATTGCATCTCCTGTGCTCATAATCCTAATGGAATAGAATGAAGGAGTGTCTACACCAAGGGGGAGTCATATTTTCTTCTCAACTCTCCATGACTGAGCCATTGTCCAAGATGCCTGTGTGCGTGGGCGCCTAGGCCTGCCTAGAAGAGCTGCTTCTGCCCCTGTAGCTGCATTTATTCTGAAAGTTCCATGGGTGCCACCTGCAGTTGACCTCTGTTAGCAAACAGTGCTCTCCTTTAGGCCAGGGAAACCTGGACAATAACCTTAGGCCTTCCTGAGCCATTGGAGGAGGCACTTCCCTGAGATTGAAAGGACTCAGGAGAGAGGGACCCTGACTTAGAAATTGCCCCTGGGTGCAAAAGACCCCTTTTTTTATGTCATCATCCCCTGAACTTTTTCTTAGCTCAAAACCAAAGAAGCTCTCCATCTCAATGCATGAATCTCAGACTGCCCACATTCCTCTCCATTTTTCCTTTAAGCTGCCCTTGATATTCGTCTTCCCCTGTTTTTATCTACATAAAAATCTTTCAAGGTGAAGCATTGTTTGGAGGTCCTACAGGAAAGCTGAGTTTCTGCTGTCCCACAGGAGTTTGCAGGTCCCACAGGAAAGCTGGGAATTTCCCAAGGCTTTGGCACCTGGAGGTTGGAGCAGGTATTAATACTGAAGTTGTGCACATCAGTTATTCATCTCTACATTTATTCAGCAAATATTCAGCACTGACTGAGTCTAGGCCTTGGACTAGATGCTGTAGAACCAGAGATAAATTACACAGATTCCCCTTCCCTCTAGAAACTGACACAGATCTGGCAGAACATTCTGCTGAGATGAAGCCTTAGGGTGGAACATTGCCTTGGAGCACAGATCTTTGATACTTATAGATCAGGATTCAAGTCTCCCACCACCACCTACTTCTCTAAGCCTGTGTGAGTCAGGAATAGTAATCATTTCTGCCTCACAGAATTTAGAATTAAATGGGAATAACGAACAAATGAGATGTCATAAATTCCCCCAGCATGCCAGGCTTTATCATCAACATTATTACCCTGTGTACCTTATGACACGTGATACTCTCCACCTACCAAGTGGCCAGCAGGTTTAGCCACTGGCACTGCGGGTGACAAGGTTCCTGAATCAGTTTTCATTCAGTAAATATTTGTTGATCATTATAATATATAGGGCGCTACCTTAGATGTTAGACCCTGGCCATTCAGAGGTGAATCAGACACAGTCAGTGCTCTCAGAATACTCAGTCTGCTAAGGAAATAGGGACAGGTGGAGATACCAAGGGTGCAGACATGTGTGTGTAGATCCCGATGGCATCGCAACCCATGCAGTAAATGCTGTGATAGGGCTGTGGGGGGGCGTAGGTGTCCAGGCAAGCTTCTCCACTCCTTCCCATCCTTGCCAGTGCACTTATAATTTTCTATAAGAACAATGGGCAGGACCACAGTCTGGAAGAAAAATAGAAGCCCCGCAAGTCATCATGTTTTAAAGTGGTGCATGGTAAATGCAGAGCAGGTACTGGGAATGGTCTAGAGCAGCAGTCTGGAGAGACGTGTTTCATCAGTGGGGGAGACTGAGGTAGTATGAGATGTTGAGGGAGTATGAGATGGATCTGGGGAAACTGTAACAGAAAACCACACCTGTATTATGCTTACAGATTCTAAATTGTTTTTATGCACACTTTTACAAAATATTCACAATAACCCCGCTATCCAAATAAGACTCTGGAGGCGGAGGGGTAAAGTCCCTTGCCTGGATCCTACAGATCCTGTTTCATATTCAATGCTCTTTCCATTAGAGATCAGGGCCATTAGCAATATCAAGACGTTCTTAGGATTCCTGTCTTTCCTGGAGCATTAGAGAATAGGGAATAAAGAAAGGGAGGAAAAAGGAAGTTAAAACAAAGGGAACAGGAACAAACTGGAGGAGGGAGAAAGAAAAAGAGGAGAAGTCATGGCGGTGGGGGTGGTCACCAAACTATAGGACTCACCCCAGACACAAACACCCACGTGGCCAGAACATGGATTACCTAACTGCTATTCTGAGAGAAAACATTTTGCTACTGACTCAAGATGTTTATAAATATCTCTACCCTCTGCCTTATAAACGTGTTTGATTGCTTTTGTTTGTGGGCTGTTTTGTTTTGTTTTATTTTGCTTTTGAGAGGACCAGCTCTCCATTTTGATTAAGGTGACCAGATTTTAACATTGGTAAAGCGGGACACCATTGACCTGGTGGTGCTGGTGGGGGGGCCCTGACAACAATGCAAACTTTGATAAGCAGTTCTCGATAATCAGTTCTCAACAATTATTTGTTATTATTAAAGTTTAACATTATAAAATTAACAAAAATAATATGAAACTTATGTTCTGGCAAAATAGTCATATGGCAGCCGAAAACCGTATATTCCCTTCCTGTTCTCCCGTGTTCCCTAGCTTGTCGTGCATTCTTTCCAAAAATTGGGACTTTTTTAGAACACCGCAGGATACAGGACAAATTGTTAAAAATCGGGACTGTCCCGCCAAAAGCAGGATGTCTGGTCACCTTAATTTTGATTTATCTGAACAGAGAGAGCCCAGCCTGGAGAGAAACGCTAATGGCCCTGGTAGACCTGGAAGTGAGCAAAAGTCAGATTGATTCAGCATGGTTTTAAGACTCTCTTGAGGGTAGTTTAACTCTCACATTCATGTGCTAAACTAGATCGAAAATTTCGATCTGTTTTGTTCCCATGCCATAATCTAAATCTTAGCAGCTACAGGACAGCAATGTTCCAAAGCAGAGTTTCTCCCTGTGTGGACCAGACCAGCAACAGCAGCAGCTCTTAGAGATGCAAAAACTCAAGCCTCATCCAGACTTTCTGCATCAGAAACTCTGGCGTCTGGTACAGCAAACCCTCCAGACAATCCTGATGCAGACTCAGGTTTGAGAGCCACTGTTCCAAAGGGCTGGGGGACAGAGTTGAGGAATTCCTGGCAGAGTACATCTTAGTTACTTTGCTGCGTGTCTGATTTCATGTCCCAAGCAAGCACAGCCCTGTCCCTGACAGCCCAGGCTGACTTCTGGACTCCTAGAAAAGGGGCTCCCTCCACTTCTCTCTTGGTATTGACCTGTGCTGCCTTTCATCGTTATTGAGCTCTCTGGTAGGCGTCTTGTCTCCTAACTGAATCAGAATTACCTCCAAGGTGGGAACCGCATTTATAATAAACAGGTGTTTAGCTCAGTGTGTTATGCATACAAGGTGTTCAATGTAAGTATCCAAATGACTGTTTAAATATATTAATTCATATTTAATTTTATAATATATTAATCATATATACTCACTTCCTAAACATACCAATGCCTGTAGATTCTTCCTTGGACCAAGTGTAGTAGACTTGGCCCTGGGTCCCACTGACTGTTCCTCTCCTCTCTCTCAGTTTCCTTGCAGATTCCAGCATGTGGAATCAGTGCCTGGAGCCTGCCCATGTCGTGGAGTGGAACATCATTTTATTCTCCATTCTCATATCCCTCAGCGGGCTTCAAGTGATCATCTGCCTCATCAGAGTCGCCATCCAGTTATCCAGGATACTGTGCGGAAGCTACTCACTCATCATCCAGGTAACAGACCCTACCTGCATCTTCTCCGTTTTACTCCCACTTTCCAAGTGGGAGTAAAGACTCAGAGGGTCTTGTGGAGATGTCTCTAGAATTCCATTAGCCCCCCATTTCTACTGCACTCTCCTTTACTCAAGCTCTAATACCTCCTTTTCCCTTCCGTTATCCCAATGTGTCTGTTGGCTTGTCTATATGGATTGAATTAGCTGAATAATTGTAAACTATTAATACATCTTGTGTTGTATGGTGAAACAACATAACTGTTTCAAATAAGCAACATTTCAGTGCTGTGTAGAGAGAATCCAAATCAAGAGAAGTTGTACCACAAACCAAGAACTTCCCTGCTCATAAACTAGTCAGAGACTAAGAGCCTCTGCCTTTGAAATAATTTCCTTTTTGAATGATTCTATATTCAACTAATAAATCTTCTTTATCTTGAGAGCATGGGCAAGTGGTTTTGAAGAAACTACTTCTACATTATCTGATAAAGTACTCCTGATAATTCAGTTGTGGTTGAAACTACTAAACCTATTTAACAAGTCCAGAGTGAAGAAAAATCATAAATGAGATATCCTATATCTTGCTTAACAACATGCAATGTGTAATAGCAGTTTCAAATAGATATTTCCGGTCTATCATGTTCTGAATGTGACATATAAATTGAAGGTGCTACCTAGATTATAGACAATTACTTAACCCAAATTTATAACTTTATTCATTTTGTTTTTCCTTTTTTTATAGCCTGGAATCATTTGAAAAAGGACAAAGATATTTTTAATTATCAAGATATGGCCATCTACCTAGTCTTATGTCAATTACATAGGCTTGAGGGCAATATTCAAATGATGGCATTTTCTCCATGTGGATGATTGGGCCCATTGGTGAAATTTGCAATCATCACTGGAAGTGTAGATTATGCCACCCTCCTATTTAGAATTTTTTTCCTGAGCAATATGTATCAGGAACTTCAGAAATGCTTGTTTCTTTAATCAAACAAATTTGTTTCCTAGAACATATGCTATGGAAGTAAATAAGAATATGAGATAAAACTTTATGCAAATATGTGCATTGCAACATTGTTTAATATTCTGGAAAATTATAAATACCCCAAAAGCCCAGCTTTAGAGGAAGGATTAAATAAAGAGTGGTATAAAATGCTTTCTGATGTAAAAAAAAATAAAACAAAAGAAAAAATAAAGAGTGGCACATTGGTCATAAAATTATATAGACCTTACAAATGATGTTTTAAAAATTATGAGTAATGCTGATAAGCCGGTTATAAATTTATGTTTACAGTGTAAGTAAAGCTATTTAAAGCCAACAAAAGACCAAATAATCAAAATTTAGGATAAAAATGACATCCAGAAGGAAATACACCAGAATGTCAACTGTGCTTGATTTGGCTCATAGATGACCCTTCTTCCTAACTTTGTATACTTTCCAAGTTTTCTTTATTGACTGTGTTTCACTATCACAATTTTTAAAAACTCATATTTTTACTATTAAAATTTTTCTATTCTTCCAGACTTTAAAGGCATAGGCTCTTTCCACATTTCCCAACATTGAATATTTGGGAACATTATGGAATAACATTTCAATCAATATTCAATGTGGAAAGTAGTGATATAGATAAGCTAACCCCTTGGTCTTACTTCCCCACTCCCAGTGGTGAGTGTGGTGGACTAGAAGAGGTAGCCTTCAAAATCGATGAGAAGCTTGGAGACACAGTCAGTGGCCATTGGCCTATTGACACCTGTTGGGTATGTGTCATGAAGAGTTGCCTGCGCTTGTATTTATAAAAATAAAAGGTTAAAATGTAGAAGTTTTACAAAATTTCCACCCAAAGATACCATGACTTCCTTGAAAACAACAGCCCTGACGTGTATGTCCCCCTCATCCCTAGCGCCTAGCAGACAGTGGACCCCAAAGGCACACAGTGTTGCACACTCATGCCAGGCCCTTTGCTCTCTATGGCTGCTGTGCTGAGTACTGTGTCCATCAGGGTTCACTGGGCCTCAACCCTTCTGCCTCTTCCTCATTGCTCCCCTCCATGGACACGGCCACTGTGCTTTGTCAACATTTGCTTTGTGTCAAAGCCAGACAACAGGCTCAGGGGATGGGGGGAGAATGACTCTCTCCCTGGTGACTGCTGTGCCAACAACACCTTTAAGGGAAGCCGCTCTGTCCACAGCTTTTGCGAGGAAGCGTCTTGAGAACAAACTATGTCGTATAGCACATGACTCCTAATCTCCTGCTGATTAAACTGGGACAGGTCCCAGGACCTTGGAGAGCCTATCATCTTGCCAGTGGCCTCCAACTTAGCCCGGAGTAAAACATTATGCAAATAAGATTGGTAGTTACTCTCATTGGAGGATTTGAGGTAGGAAGCCCAAACTGAAGCAACCCCAGCATTACTGTCAGAAAATGACTAAAGGATGAGGAAGGAAACCAGCACAGAGGCAGTATCTGGGCCATGTTAATGATGATGTTGATTTAAAAGAAGGACTGGGACTTCTCCTCGCAGGGTCCCTAAAACTACTTTTTCCATAATGAACAGGGAGGCCTGGCTTCTGTTCTTGGGTTCCTGAGCAGTCTTTCTTCCTTATCTTTATTTCTGTGTGGATCATTTCAGTAAACCCCACCACCGAGTCAGTGCAGCTCTGTTCACTGCAACCAAAATGACCCAACCAAAGTCTTTCCTTTTTATGTGTTGTGTTGGAGAGAAACTGTGCTAAGACAGTTTCTTTTAAAACACTCATTCATAGCAATCCATTTTCCAAAGAGCTTAAACATGACATCTGTAGGGCCTGGGCCCGGAGATAAACCCAAGCTACAAACACCATGATCTTCTCAGAGTGCCGCCACCCACAGCATGGATTTCTTACTCTTTCAAGCCCGTAGCTCATCATGTCCAGCACCCTCTTTTATTAAGTTCTCCCAAAGACTCCTTAGCCCTCTTGTGATCAAACTTCTTACAGGCCAAGCCCACCAGTTTGTCAGACACAGTCAGGCTGTCCAAATTCTTGTTTACTTCAGTATGGCACCATGTACTGTGTTGACCTTGAATAAAGTTCAGCTGAATGACTCCGCCACATCATTGGAAACATAGTCTAACAACAGGGTTACAGCTGAACGCAGGATATCTCCATTAGTAAAATTAAATTTTGACACGACCACAAAAATTTCTATATTTGAAAAGTAATATGCTAATGATGTGATTTTAGGCAAAGAAGCTGAATACAAATATTTGTGCCCAGGTTGAACCTAAACTTTAAAAGTAACCATATCATTACATGAAGACATGGACAAACCTTCAGATACAGAGACAAAAGCCTAGAAGTACATTTAACTGTTAATAATTATCCTCTGATAATGGAATTATAAGTTATATTTCTTTACATTATTCAATATTTTCAAAATTCCCTTTGAAAATATGTTATGTACTTGAATTTTTAAAAAAAAAATAAATGTCATTTAAAAAGAAAGTGTGGGGAGGATGGGTGAAGGGAGGGTAATTGGTGGGACCACACCTACGGTGCAACTTACAAGGGTACAGGTGAAATTGACTAAATGTAGAATATAAATGTCTTAACCCAATAACTAAGAAAATGCCGTGAAGGCTATGTTAAGCAGTTTGATGAAAATATTTCAAATTGTATATAAAACCAGCACATTGTACCCCATGATTGCATTAATGTACACGGCTATGATATAATTAAAAAAAAAGAAAAAGAAAGACAGTGTCTTCTAATCTTTTCTGTAAAGTCTCTTTAAGAAGGAAAGATATGCAGGTATGTGTGTGACATAGTACTTTTTCTTACCCTTTCTAGAAACATTTTTTCCACTTACTACTCACAGAGAGAGAGTATTGCCAGCTAATTCTAATTAGGGATGATTTTTATTTTATGCATTTCTATTTATATACCTATGGTTTATCTCCTATTCTCCTTGCTTCTAGCTCAGTGTTCTTCTCCTAACTTCTTGAATTGAATGCTTAGCTTATTGATTTTCTATTCTTCCTCTTTTCCTAAAATAGGCATTTAAGAGTACTGTGTTTCCCCGAAAATAAGACCTACCCAAAAAATAAGCTGTAGCATGATGTCTATGCATTTTTTAAATATAAGCCCTACCCTGATAATAAGACCTAGTGATAATAAGACCCCATGCATTTCAGCGTGGAGAGTAAGACATTCCCCTGCAAATAAGCCCTAGTGTGTCTTCTTGAGAAAAAACATAAGACAGTGTCTTATTTTCAGGGAAACACGGTACATATTTTTCTTTAAGTACCACTTTGGCTGCATCTCACAAGTTTCAAATGTTGCTTTTTTAAATCATTCCATGATAAACATGTTCTAACTATCTTTAGGATTTATTTTTTATCCATTAACTTCTAACATGTGTTAAAATTTCCAAATATGTAAGTTCTCTGTGTTTTCTATTTCTAACTTAATTTTATTGTGATCGTAGAACGTGATCTAGGTGATTCTAATAATTTGAAAAGTTTTAAGATTTGTCTTATGCCACATTTTTGTAAATGCATTATGTCATTTAAAAGCATGTGTTTTTTCCCTAAATATTGTGTGCAGGAGTCTACATGTCCTAATGTTAAGTCGGGTTGTTAATTTTGTCATTCAGATCTTTAATCTTTTCTTTGTTGGTTGTTTGCTTGATCTGAGGTTGCTGTGAGGATTAAATGAATATATATCTGTACAGCAATATGTGTATTTTTACAGATATATACAGAGGATGCCAAAAAATGTATATACTTTTTAAGAAAGGAAAAAACTGTATTAAAATTGTAATACTCAATACATACTAATAAAATTTATCATATATTGTATCTTTTATCTCTTGTAATTGTAGAAGTCAAATGTGACTTGAGTATTACAATTTTAATACAGCTTTTTCCTTTCTTAAAATGAATACACATTTGGGGGGCATCCTCTGTATATATCTCAGAAAACAGTGTTAGGCACACGGGTGTGATTTACAAGTGCCCTATAGCATAGTGGAATAAAGATGTATTCTGGAGTCAGATAACTCAGATTCAAATCTGGGCTCTACCTTATGTGACTTCAGTCAACTTTAACTTCTCTATGCATCTGTTTCTGAATCGGTAAAACAGGACTATTGTGAAGATTAAGTGAGTTAGTGTATTTAAAGTTCTTACAACCTGGGTGACTTAAACCAGAACCCAGATGCAGTTGTTGGAGCAGATTTAGGGTGACTGAGGCCTGGAAATGCCACAAAAGCATCAGAAGGGGGAGGGGGTAAAGGAAAGTCACAGGGTCATAGGGTTAGACGTTTGGGAAGAGAAAGAAGGTAAAGGTGGGAGGTCGGCGTTACTAGGCTAGACAACGTGCAGAGGAGGCCAGCCCTTCCTTACTTTTGTCACATGCTTAGAAGCTATGCTTGTAACAGCCATCCTGCTCAGGTTCCTAAATTCCTGTCCCTGGCCGAGGTACTTCCCCCCACTAGAAAGCTATAAGAAATAGGGGTAATTCAAGGTCACTGTTATGAAAACCACAACTACTTGCATTCAGAAAGACTCCTGCCAGTTCAGCTTCATGAAGCTGGGAATTAGGGACAAGATTCCAGGACTGGAAGAACTGAGACATCTAGCAGGAAACTAAGGTAGAGTCAAGCGTGAGTGTGTGTAATTAGGCAGGCAGGGCGGGCTACACAAACGTGACCCATGAAATCTTTTTACTTTAGAAAGGGCCCTGGATGTGGTGTAACTGGGATGCTGGAATCAGAAGCAAGAGTCAGACACTTACGTGGGTTAATATTGTCCTTTATTACCAAGATTCAGAAGCCCAGGAAGACAGGGAGATCATTCTCAAAGCCTGCCTTACCTTGAGAGAGTTCCACAGAGTTCTTACACCTTCCTCCACAGTTACTATTTTCAGCTGTACGTCCCCCAGCCCTCTGATCTCTAGCTGAAGGACTTAGTGCTTGTTACTTTCCCAAGCTGTACATCTGATGTTTTTATCATCAGCCCAGGGTGGTGATGGTCTTCATGATGTCAGAACCAGAGGAGGACTGGTGACGTGACTGCCTGATAACTAGTTAGATCACTAAGTAACTTTTACAACTAACACAGGAGTGGGTTTAAGGGTTTCTCCTCTTACAGCAGTACTTGGCTACCCAGGTCACAGGTAACATCAAGCGTGATCCAAAGAATTTAGCTTTTTTCTGG